GGTTTTTCTTTAAATCAGGGAAATGATTGTGGGTATCGATATAGTGAAATCGTTATGCTCAATCCGAGAGACTATTGATACTAGTTTACTGGGAATTGTATTGATCTGACCTGTGGTTTTTGGCGTCCTGTGAGCTCGTATTCTTTTTAATAAGTTCATGTTGATTATGGGATTGATATATCATAAACGAACTTGATTTTTTTACATGTTTTGAAAATTTTACAATTGAATCTGTATTGAATTATAGCTTTAGAAGACAATTCTCAATGCACGCAACTCGAAAAACATCATGACAAGGTAGTATATTTGGAGCAGCTACTTGATATGTTGCCCGATCATTACACATTTGCACCTTTATTTCTAGCATATATATGTTTGTTGCAGTGTTCGCTATGTTTTACAATGTCTTTTATTACTGACATGCTATGAATTTACAAGAATTATGGGGTCCTATGATTTTAGTTCAATTATCTGCTTTAGATTCTCATCATGTTTGGTTATTGAGGAACATTAAACATGGAGCATTAGAAGCAATTATTTGTTAAAAGAGTAGGCCATTAATGCATTTGCAACTGGTATTGTTGTATTTGGCATCTAATGTCTATCTTAAACAACTCTTTTGACGCTTTAGCTTTTGGAGTGACTATGATCGAACCTCTTTCCCTCTTATTATTAAGTCCTTCTTTTGAATGAGTTATTAATTGATATTCTTGGTTTATTTTAGTTATTGCTTGGTTGTATGTTGTAGTATTATGAACTAAAACTCTTTACTATTTTTGCAGCCTTTGGATGTGCATGCTCAAGTTCCATCCAAACCTATTAGATTGTCATACCAAAGTGCGTCAGCTACGAACAATACAAATTTACCTTGTTACTTTTACTTCAAAGGTTTATGCAATAAACGTGATATGTCCACTTTTCATGTTCAAAGTGAAGTAGCTTTTGGATGTACATGTAATAAACCTCAAATTTATATTGAAACACTGTCAAATAGCAAATTCATGTTCAAAAATCCAAAACACTTTAATTACATTTTAAACCCCAAATTCCAAAATACTTCAATTACATTCTAAACCCTAAATTGAATTATTTTAGAATTTAGGGTTTAGAATGAAATTGAGGGTTGTGTTGCAAGTTTTAAAAGTTGAGGGATCTAAATGCAAGTGCCTGAAAAGTTCAGTGACCATATTGCAAATAGACTAAATGTTGAATGACTGCCACATCATCTTCTTCTAACGGCAATGTAACCGCGTCAAACAGCCGGTTACATCGGGGACCATATTGCAAACGGACTAAATGTTAGAAGACTGTATTTTGAAGTTTTAAAAGTTGGGGGACCTAAATGCAAGCTACAAAAAAGTTCAATGACCATTACTATACTTTACCCTTAGAATAATTAAATGCTTCTCTTACAATTTAATCAATGATTGATTTAATTCTATAATTGGTTTGGGTTTGTCAAATTATGATTAAACGATTCCCTCATTTGTTCTTTGGGTAAACTATACAGATGACCACTAATGTTTGAATTAGGTTTCATTTTCCCAATTGATGTTTTAAAAATTACAAATCGACCACTAACGTTATCGATTGGTTCCGAACTGGTCACTCAACATTAACAGACATTGGTAGTTGTAGGTAACAAAATGCTGATGTGGCACTATTTTCCCACACATTTGACTTTCCAAAGCTTTTGACCAACATTTAAGGAAAAAATTAAAGAACAAAAAGTTTATCTTCTCCTCTCTCTCCTCTCCTCCCTATTTACAAGCCAGAGGAGCTGCAACTCTTAAATTTTGCACCGCCTCAGAGACCACATATAGTTCGATTGAATTACTCGAATTGATTAATTATATTTTATTATTTAAATTTTATCTTAATTTTTTTAATCGAGTGGAATATATACAAAGCTGAAAATTCCGCGCTGGAATATTGATTTCTAGAATTACAGCCACCTGAACATGAAGACAATGCCACTCACAGCTCTCCTTTGAGCTTCTCTTGATCCACCATTGCAGTCTCTTCCATTTTTGTACCAAACCCATTGTCTACCCAAGCAAGATAACCTCCTCCCAAGTTTCTTACATCCTTAAAACCCTGCAACATCCATGAGTACACTCAATCACAACCTGTCCAAAGACTTTGAATCTCAATATCCGCAATCGGATAAAACTCACAATTTTAAGAAGATCAGCTGCTGCAGAAAGGGATCTCACCCCACTTTTGCAGCCCTATAAGCAAAAGCGAAGCTCTTAGCCGACTTGCAATTCCAACATCGTTTACATAGAGAACCAAAAAAGAAAATAATGAAATAACGAAATCGAAATTACCACTACGAGACGATCTTCCTCCTTGAAAGCAGATGAAACATCCTTCAAGAATTCAGGATTCTTCACTATACCTTCTGGCGTGTTGAACATGTAATGTGGTATTAACGATCTTCTCTGCTTCCACGTGTCCCTTCTGGAACTCTTCCACTGTCCTGTTATGAATATCAGAAAACATAAACTTTGAAGCCCCGACAAGTTTGAGAACAAAGAACTGAACAGAATCCTGTTGTGTTTTACCTGACATCGTCGTAAACATGGCCGGTCTGAAGCAAGTGTTTTTCTTCGGTGAAATCGACGGTAACAACTTGTGATCCTGTGCTGGAATATGTGAAAAGGAGGAGAAAGAAGACTACCAAATAAACACCCAACCAGTTGTTCATGGAGGAGAGGAGAGCGAAGAAGAAAAACTTTTTGTTCTTTAATTTTTTCCTTAAATGTTGGTCAAAAGCTTTGGAAGTCAAATGTGTAGGAAAATAATGTGACATCACTGATTTAATGTGCCACATCAATATTTAACCAGTTTTTAACCAATAGATAATGTTAGTGACCGGTTTGTAATATTTGAAAAATCAGTGAAAAACGAAACTTTTCTCAAACATTAGTGACCATCTGTATAGTTTACCCTTGTTCTTTTTATGTTCTTTCTTTCTTTTTAATACTTACAATTGCAGTTTCGAAATGCCTCGCTACAATGATCGTCATGGTAACACTCGTCTGTATGTTGGCTGCATCTCTTCACGAACGCGAGCACGTGATCTAGAACTACTCTTTAGCCGATGCGGGAGGTAATTACGATTTCCTCTGTCTCGATGCGATGAAAGAAGTTAAAGATTTATCCAATTTTATAGAACATAATATTTTCTGTATATATGATTCACAGTGTGATGTCGCAGATCACAATTACCATATACCTGCATTGCTTGACCGTAGCTAAATTATCCCTTTTGTGGATTTTTGCTATTTTGTAATGTCTGGATCTAGTTAGTTATTCTTTATTGTTAGTGTTCTTTTGAGTTGGGGAACCGGTGATTTGAATTAGCGGTATTAGGGTTTGGCGAGAGGAATGTCCTCTTATTCTCTAGATGTAGGAGTGCTTAGGTCTTTGCGAAGCTTTCTTTGTGCTCAGATTTGCACTAAATAATAATGATCTTATATGTGTGGGGACTGCCTGCCCGTAGGTAATGTAGTGTTTTTTTAACTTGGATGAATCTTGTTGAAGGTTTCTGGGATTTTGCCAAACCTGGAGGCCTATGGTGAGAGGGTCGGCCTTGGTGGAATTGGTGGGATTTCTAGCGCCGTTTATAGGGACCCATTGGCGATTCTTTCTGTAGTATTATTCCGTGTTTTAGTGGAAGTGGCAACAATCTCAAACTGGCATTGACTTCATCTATGAGGGGTGAAGTTTGATACACTTGCAGTATTTAACTACTGATGTCCTTCATGTTTATGGCAACCGTTTCCGCAGAGTACGTGAAGTGGATATGAAGCGTTATTACGCCTTTGTTGTAAGCGACACTCTTTGACCTGGTTGCTACTTTAATTGTGGCATGGATGGCCATTAGGCCCCAGATTGCAAAGCTGGGGACTTGAAGAACAAATGTTATCTTTGTGGAGAAAGTCACATAGAACGAAATTGCAAGAACAGTCGTCAAAATCTGAGGTAATCTATTTTACGCCGACTTGCCCCCACCTTGTCAATCTTATTTCATGTGCCCTTTCGTTTGCAAAATTTGATTACTTTTATGCTTACCTTTTCTTGTATTATGTCTATAACAGACGTGGGCGGGGTTATTCTAGATCAGCAGTTGGATTCCGCTCTCCTCGTCGTGGCAGAAGCCAGAGTCGAACTTACAGCCGAGGCCAGAGCTACTCGTAAGTTAACTTCTACTGCTTCATCTATGACAAAGTTTGTACCTTTAATTAGTTTTAGTTTTTCTGACAAATTAAAAAAGGAGAATGGAAGCATTATCCTATCATGAATGATGCGCTTTGAACATGAATGGTTGGAAAATGGATTGGCAACTAAAAAGTGAACCTCGTTTTTCCTTTCTTTAATTTAGTTTTATGAGTTTTCTCTGAACACTAATAATTTGTGCTTCTTTCAACCAATTTCCGTTTTTATGCCAGTCGTTCAGGTCTCCAGCAAGGAGAGAGCAAAGTTTTGAGTGTTTTGATAGATCACAGATCCTCGAGTTCGAGAATAGCTCACATCCCTCCAAGGGGAGGAGTCGCAGTCCAAACCCATCTCCACGAAATGGGAACCTGGCTTCTCTGAAAGATGAAGCTGATAACGGTGGTAGTCCTCTGGAAGCAGAAGGACCCCTGCTAATCCTGATAGAGATGTCAGAAGGCAGTACCGAAGTCCTTCCGACGCCAATGGCCCCAGCCAAATTCCCAGTACAAGGGACAACAATAGTCCAATCAGTGGTGACTACGATGACCACGCACACCTAGAGACTACAGTAATGGTGACGACGATGACGCACTCACACCTAGTGGAAGCGAATCGCCTTAAACCCCCTCCCCAAAATGGCTCTCCCGTTATCATCTGTAATACCACCTGTACAAATTTCATTTCTAGATAGTTTGTCACGTTACCTAAAAAGCCATAGGATGGTGTAAAAGTTGAGATAAGAGATATTTTTCTTATTTCCCTAGTTTTGTCTCCTATCTATTCTTCGGGTTAAATATCTTATGCACTTCAAAATACGATATTTTGATATTTCAAGTAGTTAGTACGATTTCGAACCAACAAAATGCCCCAAGTTGCTGCGCTGCCTAGTTTCGGAATCGTATGTTCGGCTGGCAAGCCCGGGCAAAAAGGAAAGAAAACAGCACCCGAAACGAAGCGGGGTGACGATAGCATGGGGTTTAGTGGTGGGAGAAAGGAGATATGGCGGTGCGTGGAAAACTGCGGGGCATGCTGTAAGCTGGCCAAAGGACCTGCATTCGCCACGCCTGAAGAAATCTTCACCGACCCTACTGATATCGAGGTTGTCATCTTCATGCACACCATATGTTCGATAAATTGATTGATCCCAGGAATAACATAAAGAAACTGTTTTGTTGGTATTAGCTTTACAGAAACTTAATAGGTCCCGACGGATGGTGCATCCACTACGAGAAAACCACGCGCACTTGCTCCGTTTACTCTGGTCAGTCTTTTCTTTTCTTCCCTAAAGGATACGTATTAGCTTGAAATTGTGGTATGCTAAAGGGATTTTAAGTTTTCAGATCGTCCATATTTTTGCCGGGTGGAACCTGATGTATTCAACAAGTTGTATGGAATTCAGAATAGAAAGTTCAACAAGGAAGCTTGCAGGTTGGACACGACCAGGCTCTTGTCTCATGATATTATGGAAGCTTTCTTTTTTGTTGTAACTAAAGAGAATTGCTTTGCAGTTGCTGTCGGGACACCATCAAGGCAGTGTATGGGCCGCATTCCCAGGAATTGTACCACTTCAACCGTTCCATCAAGGATTCCTCCTCAAAATGATATCTACCGCATAATTTGGGTATTCGAATTATTTGGGTTCATGTAACCATTATGACTTACTACGAGTCGAATTTCTGTTTCTGGTGCTAGAAGATTGTAAGTTGCAATCATCACTTATTTCTACGCTCATAGAGAGATGAAGATCAAATGCATATCTTTGTTCTTCGGTGCGGAGAGTGTACCATTATTTTAGAGTATGTTTCACTCCAATTAGGTTTCATGATCGATGGTCGTGTTCTAACATGGAATGCTGCAAACTAATATGGCCTGTGCAACTTATTACTTGAAAAGGTTTCAGATGAGTAAAATGATAGTTGAATCTTTATAAATATGATTATCTTGAAAAGGTATCAGATGAGTAAAATGATAGTTGAATCTTTATAAATATTATCGATGACATATTCTGAATTTTCACATGCTGTCGTCAATGATGGATTTTTTTTATATCGGATAACCTTTACAATCATTATTATTCATAAAGCATCCACCTTTATATTATTACTAGGATGTAGGAGTGCACAAAAAATCTGAATATCCGATTTTGCGAAAAAAATATTCGAAACCGGATTTGAGAAAAACCGGGTTTTTTTTAACCGGATCGGATTTTTTTAAACCGGTTATTTTAACCGGTTTGGAAAAAAAACTAGACCGATTTTTTTACAGGATAAAAAATCGGTTTGAAAAAAACCGGGTAACCGGTTAAAAACCCGGTTTTTATCTGAAAAAAAAAAAACGGTCCGGGTTTAAAAAACTAGCCGTTAATATAGTCGTTGGGGGGGGTTTTGTGACCGTTTTTGACCCTTTTTTCTTTAAAAAATTACCATTTTACCACCCTAAACATGTATAAATAGGTTGGGGATGTATTTGGTTGATTACAACTTTCTCAAATCTTATTACACAACACCTAAACATCTCTCAAATCTTATTTTTGTAATTTTTTGTTCATCATGAGTAACACGGCTGAATCTTCCGTCGGGGGAAACCTTGAAGTCGTGAGAGTGATCGAACACACTCGAAACAAAGATATTTGGGATCACTACGATTTATGTGAGATGTCAAATGGCTCGAGGAGGGCGCGTTGTAAACTTTGTCTAAAGTTTCTTGCATCGGAAGGAAACACAACGTTGAAGAACCATTTGACAAAATCATGCAAGGCACTTCGCTCAAGATCGGATCCTAGTCAATCGAATCTTACACCGCAAGGTGGTGTTTTTGTTTACGACAACGAAAAATTACGAGAAGCGTTTACAAAGTTCGTGATTACAAAAGCATTGCCGTTCGACCACTTTGATGATGAAGATTTCACGACAACAATTCAACAACTAATGCAACCACGTTATACTCAAGTAAGTCGTACTACCTTTAGAAGAGATGCTATAAAAATGTGGCGTAAGGCGAGGGAAAAAATGATTTTAGGATTCCAAGAACACCGTTATGGTGTGTCGCTTACATGTGACGTTTGGAGTTCCCCTCATAATACCGGAAATTCTTTTTTAGCCGTTATGTCACATTGGTTAGATCAAGATAATTGGCAAATGATGAAAAGAACAATCGCATTTGAATTATTCGGTAAGCCGCATACCGGTGCTAATTTATTTACACTTTTAAAAAGGGTAATTTGTCTTTATAAATTAGAAAATAAAGTTTTTTCTATATCCTTTGATAATGCATCGAATAATATAAACGCGGTTCCAAGATTGAAAAGATTACTTTCACCGATTTTAGACGGTGCGTTTTTTCATACCCGTTGCATTGCACACATAATTAATTTATCCGTGCAAGCCGGTTTGGAGGTTATTGAGCCGATTAGATTAGAATTTAAAACAATGATAAAATCGGTTCTTTGTAACAACAACAAAAGACTAAATGATTATAAACAATTTTGTAAGTCCGTTAATAAAAAAGCTTTGGGTCCTAATTTGGATTGTCCAACTCGTTGGAACTCAACTTGGATGATGATGCATACTGCCTTAAGGCAAAGGGAAACATTGCAAACATTTCACGATCGGCTTTTCGAGAGGGGTCATGTCCCAAACATTTATCCGGATTCGAGTTGGGAAACTATAGCCAAAATAACAGATTTGCTTGGGGTTTTTAAAAATGCAACAACTTTTTTATCCGGTGTTTATTACCCTACTAGCCCGTTGGTTCTTAATCAAATTTTTTTGTTGGCTACTCGACTAAATGACTTTGAATTTGAAACCGAAGTTTTTCAAGAAATTGGCTTTGCAATGAAGGAAAAACTTTTAAAATATTTTAAGGAGATTTCCCCCATTTTTACTTGTGCCGCCGCTTTAAACCCAACGTTAAATGTTGGCAGGGTTGAAACACTAATTGAACAAATTACGTTTGCTTTTAATCTAATCGATGATGAACCCAACTTTGTCCAAAACCAAATAAATTATTTTAACAAATATTTTCGAGACATGTTTGCAATTTATTTAACTAAATACGGATCAAGTAGTGTAATACACGATCAAATCAGAATGAATGCGGAATCATCTAGTAGACGTCCAAGTAACATAAATTTGAATCTTTTTAACACTCTTGTAAATTCCCAATCCAAACGATCACGTACTACCACCCCAAGTAGCGAGTTGGAAAATTACATGTCATGCGATTTTCTATCAAAAATGACATTTGAAGAGTTTGAAAGTTTGGATATTTTGGCTTGGTGGAAAGAAAAGGAAGCACAATTTCCGATTCTAGCCGTCATGGCCCGTGATTTACTAACCGTCCAAGCTTCTACGGTAGCTTCGGAATCCGTTTTTTCTGTTAGTGGCAGGGTTATATCGCAACGGAGATCAAGACTAAGTCCCGAGTCGGTGGAAATATGCATTTGTTTAAATGATTATTTGGATGGAGCGGCTCGTAAGCAACATATCACCACCCTAGAAGATGTAATTGATGCCGATTTGGAAGCAAACTTACACATTGAAGAAGTCGAACTTGGAATATCCCCTCCAAACGAAGAAGGTGAAGATGATGAAGAAGAGATGGCAATGTAGTTTATTTTTAAACTTTATTTCAATTATCGTAAACTTTGTTTCAATTATCGAACTTGAAGTTTTTAAGTATTTGAATTTATCGAACTTGGAAGTTGTTGAGTTAATCGATCGACAGAATCGGCCAAGAGGGGGTGAATTGACAATTAAAATTTCGGTGGAAGCTTTTGCAGAAAATTGAAAAGATTTGCACAGCGATTTAGAGTGGTTCGACTTTCTCAATCAAAGTCTACGTCCACTACCTTAGCTATCCACACTAAGGATTTTCCACAAATTCACTAATTTGTCTTTCTTTTGAGGACAAAGAGTAACCTTACAAACCCTCAAGAATTATATCCCAAATTCTTGAGAAAACTCTCTCCCAAAGAGAACAATACAAATTTGCAAACTTACAAGGAAATCCTCACAAGGTAGATTGTTTGCACAATTCTAGAACAAAGAAAAGAACACTCAAAGATGAATACAATTGAGCACAATATGTGTTCTTGAAAGCAAAATGAATATTGAATGAAAATAGGCTTGAAATGCTCAAACTTGAGGTTTGATGCTTTCTCTTTGATTCTCTCTTGATTCTAGTTGCTTGATGTTTCTTATTTTTGATCAATGGCTTCTAAGCTTGCTTAAATACACCTTGAATCACTTCTGAACGTTAGGGATGATTAATGAAGATAATATAGCCGTTTAAGTGTGAAAACATTTATTAAAAATGCTTGGAGCGTGGGGGGAATCGGTACCCTCTCATAGGGAATCGGTTCCCTAAGTGTAAAATTCAAATATTTCGACCGTTGAATAGGGGGAATCGGTTCCCTTCGAGCATTCTGGAAATCTCGGAGCCAAACCATTCAGGGGGGAATCGGTACCCCCTTGGGGGGGAATCGGTTCCCTCTGAGCAATCTGGAATTTTTGGCTTTGAAATGGTTCGAAATACTTTGAAAGATTATTTTGAAATTGTTTTATGATTAAAACTTAATTTTACACTTAAGTAAGGATTAAAAATGATTTTTGAAATATTTGGAGTAATGTTTTGATATTCGAATAATTATATCGAATATACTTAGAAAATCATTTGGAAAATCTTAAAATTCATTTAACTTAATTTGTTATATCGAAATATCAAAATGTTTTCAACATAAGTTTTTAAGTATTTGAATTTATCAAACTTGGAAGTATTTAAGTATTTCAATTATCGTAAACTTTGTTGTAATTGATGACGATGTAATTTTAATAATATTAAAATCGGTTTTTTATAACTGGTTTTTTAAAAAAACCGTTTTTTTTTAAAACCGAAACCGGTTACACCGGTTAAGATATCCGGCCCTCCAAACCGATTAGAAACCGAACCGATTATTTTATAAACCGATTTTTTTTAGAAAAAAAACCGGATCTGATAAAAACTAATTCGGATCGGATTGAAATCCGACTGACTTCTGTGCAACCCTACTGGGATGTGTCGATGAATGAATTCATACAACCAACACAATATGACACCGACGATGTTATAGATATTATCGATAATGTTAAAATAAGTGATGATAATAATCCCGTTGAAGAATAATTAATATAGAAAAAATTTATGCATAACCCACAATCACCACACTACAAAAATCATTCGTATAAAAGTCACTAGTGATATTATTTTTTATATTTTACAACAAAATTAATTGTAATATTGTAATTTTCTTTTTATTAACATTATAATATTAATTTTTGATTACATTAAAATTATATATTTTTTATTTTTACTCAACTTAAATAGTTTTTCTACTTTCAAAAGTTCCAAAAAAAATTATACGTACAAAAAATATGTAACCCCCTCCATTCCTCCCTCTGGAGGCTATCCAAGGAACATTACCCCTTCAACCCCATGGGGTGGGGGAAGATTCACTAGTTGTGTGTGTGAAACCATGACCAATCGACCGTCTCACTTTCGGGATTCGTTTCACACACATTTCTTAGAGATTCTTGTAAATATTATAATAATATTTTATTTTTTAAATTTAAAAAAAATAATTGAATTAATTTAAAACTTATGGTTC